TTGTTTTGTTTTTTTGTGTGTACAAATAAAAAACGTTGAATTAAAAACTCGCGAAATTTGAGAACCTACTGTACGACATTTAACCCTTCAATATGTCTTCAAGACCATGAAGCAGAGAAAGTGGTGCTAGTGCTTCCAAGCATGAGCACAAGTCACTATCAATCCAAGAAAAGGGTGAATTTCCATGGTCCGGAAATTTCCATGGTCCGGCACCGGTCAGGTCCCGAGGTTGCCGGACTAGAGAGGTACAACCTGTATTATTATTACACACACACACACGCTCTTAATTTTTCATATTTTGTAGATTTATATTATATTTTCTTTATTTCTAAACCACATTAGAATATTAAAATTTTTACTCCTTTTTTCTGTAATAAAGAAAACGGTGTTACTAGGGTGGACTATAATATCTTTAATGATAAGTTCATTTTTATTTACATACTGAGACTTGAATCATATGTAAAGAAAACAAATATATATTTTTAAATTTATTCTTTATTTTGTATAAGTGACCAAATTTCAGTACTTACATGTAGCGTTCCTCTCCATCACCCGCGTCATCTACCATTCCTCCCTGCATTATGTACTATGCCTCTCACCTACTACAATGTTTCATTCTTCGCTTGCAGTGCTGGCAAGTGTTGCTCTTTTAGAATTAGTTGTTACATGTATACAGTACTTATAGGGCCGATAATATTTTATTGTATTTTTGTGGACGGGGGCGGGGGGAGTGCCTCAATAAGTCGAAATTTGGGATATTGGGATAACTCTACAAGGCCAGAGCCCCATATGTGCCAAATTATCGAGGTTTTTGCTGCACATATTTCAAGAAATGGATAAAATTAAAAAGAAAAGTTATGAAAAGAACAACACTTGCTCACTGAATACTGTACAGTGGTCAAATCAAATTTACCATTGGCCTAACGAGAGCTAAGACACTGTGTATGTAAGCAGGCTGAGGGCTGCAGAGAAGGGGGGGGGGGGGCTGAATCGACATTACCACATGTCGGGTTTATTTATTGATTCAGTTATGTATTATATTTTCATATGATCAGCCTCTTATGATGTATGGTTCATCATGATTAATATAACATCTTCAGTATTAGAGAAAAATAAAAATACAATATGTGATTTGTAATTTGACTTGAAAATAAAAGGATTAGCTGTATCGGAAGGCATTCACCCAGGATGCGTTCGTGTGAGAGCTTTCAGCAAATAAGCTTACAACAGGGGTCACTATAACACACTGTATAGTATTTGATATGAAGATACCTTCTTAAAAACGTTATTTACTGCCTTTGGCTGTTATATGATGACTCAGTTTGGCTACTTGTATTTAGACAAATTATTAATGAAGAAACCAGGGTATATGCAGATGCATAATTTTTTACACCACAATATTACTTATTAAGTGATGATAAATACACTACAATAGTATTTATTTAGTGATGATAAATACACTACTGTACTGTACAAATTTACTAAATGTTGAAGACAAGTGAGGTAAGCATGAGTGAAGGAGCTAAGCTTATCAGCTGTTTGACCTTTGTAAACAAACGATTCATGGTGTTGAGTGTGGGATTCTTTTATCAGGAGAGTTGATTTTTTTAGGATAATATTTTATCAACCTGGAACCAAATGAACCTAAATGATAAAGAATTATGGTGAAATTGTATAAAGATTTGTTAAAGGAATCTTGGGGGACAGGGGGAAGGTGCCATCCTCCTGTGCTACCCCTCTCCCCACCCCTCTGCCTGCTGCTTCTAGATAAACACTCATCATCCACATACAATATCCCCTTACACTTATTTGTTCTTATTTTTATCATTATAGTACTGTACAGTATACAGTTTTCTCTTTATTCACAAGACAAATTCTGGGGTTACTTACATACAAGACTTTACAGTAAATAACAATCACCTCGTTGACAACCTGACTTATTTGTCTGATTTTCAACCCAGAGAGAGTTCTGTTTCATATTTTTTTTATTGTTGATATAATATATTCTTTTAATAACCTTGTTATACACTTAAAGACCTTAGTTGTTGAAGTGCAGTAATAACATAACAACAACTGATTTTCTTTAAACAGTTCAGACAAGCAGTGTTATCTCCAACTCCCTCCCGCCCCACAGGCTATAACGAATCTAATTGGTTCTAGAACCTTGTTCGTTATAGCATTCGTTCGTTATAGGATTAATCCGTTCCAGGCCCCCAAATACAACCACTTAACACTGAAAAATATAATATAAAATTGTAAAAATTGTAAAAAGTGTTTTAATATGCATCTAAACTCCTGAAATAAAGAATATCATTAATACTTGTAATAAACAAAACAAAAAAATAATAATTAATGTTCGTTGTAGGAGTTTCGTTCGTTATAGCATTCTCAATTTTAAAGGTAAAACCGTTCGTTTTAGGAATATTCGTAGTAGAATCCGTTCGTTATAGTATACCCCCAATGTATTTGCTTTTCTCGGACTTTCGCATTTTCAGACTGCGGTCTGCCCCAATTAGTCCGTTTTATCGAGGTTCTACTGTACTGTATATTCACAATTATTAATGTAAAACAAAACAAAACATTAGTACAGCAGTATTCCATATGTGGGTGCTTAGTTGGCTGATAATGGCATAGTAGAGTGGTAACTTTTCTACACTGGCTGCCGCTCAGAGGACAATTTTAATTAAAAAAAATATATATGGCCTTTACAACTGGATACAATACAAAATATAAAATTTGGATACTCAAAACTGAGCAGTTGGTGAGGGCTTACTAAAACTTAGTTATAACCTTAGGTATGTCTTTAAAGGGTCACTTCCCCTAACCACAATTTCCCATTACACCCATCCTTTGCCAACTACAATTTTGCCAATCACAGGAGGATTCTAAAAATTAACCTCCATAGTTGGTATGGGATCACATAATGGGAATCTAACTTGTGTACTGTATGTTGGCTCTCATTATGTATTCTTCATCAAGACAATTTTCTATGCTTCTGTAATTATTCCATCAATTTCCAGAATATCTATTTAAGAAAGACTCAATGAATTTTCTCCACATTTGAATGTAAATTATGAAGTGTCCCCATTATTGTGAGGTGATATGGCACCTGGTGGACACTTTGAAAACTAATTTTATTTATTTTTAACTCTTTAGAGGGCAGTGTAGCCCTTAGGTATTTTATTCTGGCTAATACCCAGACAAATTTTGTTCAGGTAATAGAAACTCATGCCACCTAAAGAGTTAATGAGTATTTGTTTCTAGATAATACTACAGTGTATATCAACATTGTTTTGCCTAATTTACCTGAGATTTGACTGCAATTTCCCTCTTCTGTTGACGGTCATCGTGTTTCAACCCGAGTTTTAATTTATGATATTGTAATTAGTTAGTTTTACTGCCATTCCACCCCATCAAGTACAGTACTACGGTGTCCTTCAGGACTCATTGTTGTTTTTAAAACTCGGGCTGAAACACGAAGACCCTCTTCAACGGAAGAGGGTGATTAAAACTCCGGGCGTGAGTCAGCGGAACGAATCTTAAAATTGACTTACCAGTACTCTGTCATCTGGTGCAAGTGTGCAGTTTTATCTTATTTTAGAGGGAGTGAACTTTTGTTTGTGACTGTACTTCTAGTTTCTTTAGATTTTGTTCTCAAAATTTATTGTAATTGAAAAAATGTAAAATATTAGATTTTTTTACATTTTGTGACTTACTATATGGATGCTGTATATTTTTGCAATGTCTCTTCTGAATTACTTCAAATTTAAGACAAATATTATTTTCGGTCATGGAGTTCCATATCGTTTTTTGGGGGGCAATTCTTCTTTATGGGTAACCTTCTCCTACACATATACCTGTGTAGTCGGTAGTAGGCAGCTACCAAACAGGGAGGTATTACCATCTGGGAAGATATTGCAAGCATAATGTCTAAACTCTAATGGTAGTCCCTGCTGCCATGTTGCATCATGAAAATTGTGACCAAGTCCCAGGTTGCTGATCTGACTTTCTGCCTCATTTACACACAATTGCAGGGTCTCAATTGTTTCTCTTACTATTGGCAACACAACATACATACAGTATATCGTTTCTCACTCAGTTTTTTTTAATGTTTAGTACTGTATTTGTTATTATTTTTATAAATTTTTCTATATAATTATTATTATTATTATTATTATTATTATTATTATTATTATTATTATTATTATTATTATTACATTATTATTATATTTTTGTCCCCCAGGCCCTGATGTAGGTCAGTGACCTGTGCCTGGGTGGGCTACACCCCCCCCCCCCACCAAAAATTAATGAAATAAAAAATTCATTTTGTACTGTCACCTTACTTCCAAACTTTTTCATATATTTTCTGTATTAACTTTACATGTATACGCCCATGTATACAGCACACCATTTAGTCAACTATATGTATGGTTCTTTTCACAGTACACTTTTGGCAGTTTGCAGCTTTATATTCCATGTTATCTTCTGTATACTGTTTTATATCATGACACTATCCTGTTCATAGTATGAATTCATCTTTTTTACTCTTATTAAATCATATTGTAGATAATTTGTTTCAATTTGTTGCTCACCACGAAGCTTTCTTATCTTACTGTTCAATATTCACATACTGTATGTAAATAAGAATGTGGGCTTCCCTTAACTTCCAGTAGATTTTTCAACTTGTTTTCTCACCATACAGTACTTATATTTTCTTATCGTTGCTTGTATTAGCCCTATAAGACTGTAAGTTACATTCCACTTCTCTTAATCAAAGGGAACTATAAGTGACTGTAAGTTGTTAACATGAAAGATGAAAACAAATGCAGGAGTACCTAAGGGAAGGGTCTATTGAGGGTGTTAGGAGAATGGAACCCTTCAAGAGGAGTTCGTGAAGTTATGTGAACAATAAAAATGTACACATATAATTATATTAAATTTAGCACTTGAAAAATAGAAGTGATTTAGCCTGCCTACAAGATTTCTGTTTTCCTTAACAGGTGTCCATGGAGCACTTATGGTTTATGAAGTGCGCTTCACTTCTGAGCTTCTTGCATCGCTTCTCTCAATTCCATGTGGTAAAACACTTCTCAGACGACACCTCAACACTCATTTCAAGGAGCTTGTTGGCCGTTCTGTGGTCCAAGAGAAAAGAGAATTAGAGGCTGCATCAGGTTACACTCCACTCTCCACCTCAGCTAAAGTCAAGGTTTGATCTTTATAATTTGTCTTATTAAATAAAAATTTGGTTATATACTGTAGGTATATTCTTTAGTGTACAGTATATAGTTTTATTTATTTTACTCATTCCTTTTTCTATTCTCTCACATGGTAAAACTTAAAAATTATTTTATATACATTTTCTCGTGTCAATAATATATTTATGGTCAAGCACCCACAAATGAGGTGGTCTTAATAAAATTCACTCTTTAAAGCATTGATCTAGAACTAGACCCAACATGGGTCACTTGGCTTGATCTAAACATTTACGACTACAGGTTGTACCTCTCTAGTCTGGCATTCTGTGGTCCGGAACGATTTTAGTTTGCCGATGGAGAAAATTAATTTGAGTCTGGTACTTTCAATGTTTGGCTAAATTTTGCCTTATTTACCCTATTTTTGGGGCAGATTAATACCTGTAATAAAGCAACATCCTAATAAACCAACGAAAATAACACAGATAAAGTTAAATAAAAACTGAAAACAACACAGAAAAAGTTTTTATATTCTACACCTTCAGCTAGAGTTGAACCTGATGACTTGGCAACTTCGTCATCCAAGTAAAAACACACACAACAACATTGGCTGTCCTTATGTTTTCAACTTTACCACCACTGGTGGGAAGAATTTTTGTTTTAAATTCAGAAACATTAATTAAAATATATATGAACAGTAAATAAGTATTGCTTTCATATTCTTATGTATAGTAATGACGATATGTTTTCACATGTGCGCACTTACATACGCGGTCTCACTTTTTCTCTTTACCATTAATGGTTAGCTACTTATATTGTTCTATTTATTAACATTAAATAACATTACTTAAAACAACCATATTAATTTTTTTTACATTAATTTTACTACAGCTTCAACCAGGGTCTTATTTTCTTCAGTTTTATATGTAGAACCAGTCAGTCACTGGTTTTGTAATTAACTAAAACAATGCTGTCTCATTTCCTCCCGTGTTTTAATATTCTACATATTATTAATGAATTGTATTGTTCATTTTGCACACATAAACATTAATTCAATCAAAAAGACATTCTGTAATAAACAATAATGAATCTTTTGGACATAAGAGAAATGACGGTTTACACGATTGTGCACGTCTGAACGTTGACGGGCCGCTTAAACCCATCAAAATTTTAAATTGTGTAGTGTTTTTTGTGTCCAAATAAAAAACGTTGAATTAAAAACTCGCGAAATTTGAGAACCTACTGTACAACATTTAACCTTTCAACATGTCTTCAAAGAGACCACGAAGCAGTGAAAGTGGTGCTATTGCTTCCAAGCATAAACAAAAATCACTATCTATCCAGGAAAAGGGTGAATTTCCATGGTCCGGAAATTTCCATGGTCCGGCAATTTCCATGGTCCGGCACCGGTCAGGTCCCGAGGTTGCCGGACTAGAGAGGTACAACCTGTACTACTTTACTGACACTCAGAATCGAGTATGACGATCATCCAGTTATGATGGAATGATATGAGTTATTAGGGATGTTGCCGAGGTTGGTAAGTTTTGAGGCAATTAAAGGAACCGATACGGGACCGGCAGCATCGTTCACATTCGTTGCACATGTGGAGGGCTGCATCTACTGCAGGAGGGGCAGTCTTTCCGGCATTGGCACTTGTCTGCCTCGGTTTGCAGTCTGGCTAACTTGAAAGCATTGACACCTTCTCGTGCAGTGCTCCTCCAAGCGTTACGATGTGGAGTAATCGACTCCCAGGTGAGGGGGTCGATTTGGTACTTTTCAGGTTTGTCTTAAGACTATCCTAATACCTTTTCAATTGCCCGCCGGCATTATGTTTACTATTCGTTAGGTGACTGTAAAGTAGCTGCTCTGGCAGTCTACTGTCGTCCATGTGGGTAGCCTCGATGCTCCTACAGTTGGTGTCAGCAAGAATACTTGCATTTGTTCTCTTGTCTTCCCAGCGAACTCAGAGGATGGAGCGTAGACTACGTTGGTGAAACTTTTCAAGTGCCTTGAGGTGCCTCCTGTATGTGACCCATGTCTCACTGCCATATAGCAGGGTGGGGAGGACCACTGCTCAATATACGTGTAACTTTGTAGATAATTTCAGCTCCGTACAGCTGAAGACACGATTTCAGAGTCTGCCAAAGGCTTGAGATGCACATCTGGTCCAATGCTAAATCTCTTCATCGATGTCTGTGGTGGTGGACAGGTGGGAGCCGAGATACCGATAGTGGGCAACATTAGATAGGGTAGTACCGTTAAGCTGGATGAATGTTGGAGGTGTGGCTGAACCAGGGGCATGCTGAAAGAGAATCTGAGTCTTACGTACATTCACCCCAAGGCTGAAGTGTGCATACGCATCTGCGTAGGTGTTAAGGATCTGTAGGCGACAAGGGTGAGGTCATCTGCATACTGAAGTTCAGTAATGGAAGCTGCCAACACCTTTCTTCTTGCCTGGAGTCATTTTATGTTGAAACGACCCCCCTTTTACCCGGTACTCGATGTTCACCCCGCTGGCTAAATTGGCACTGGCACGAGTAAGGAAGGCAGCCAAGAAGATGGAAAAGAGAGTTGGTGCCAGTAACACACCCTTGTTTAACCCCTGTTTGGATGGGGAAGAACTCTGACTGGGTGCCGTTGTGCAGGACACTGCCGTTCATGCCATCATGGAGTTGCCTCATAATGGCAATGAATTTTGGTGGGCATCCAAAACGGCTGAGGGTTCACCAGAGGGCTTCCCTGTTGACCGAGTCGAAGGCCTTGGCTAGATCGATGAAAGCCATGTACAGGTCACGATGTTGTTCTCTGCACTTCTGCACTTTTCCTGTATCTGGCGGGCAGCAAAGATCATGTCAGTGGTGCCACGTGATGGTCTAAAACCACATTGACATTCTGGGAGGAAGTTTTCCGCCTCAGGAAGAAGTCTGTTTAGGAGGACTCGGGCGATAATCTTGCCAGCTACGGAGAGCAGTGAGATCTCACGACAGTTAACACAGTCTGACCGGTCTCCCTTGTTCTTATAAATATTGACAATGGAGGCATCTTTAAGAGCTTGGGGGATTTCCTCCTTTTCCCATATATTCTCCAGGAGAGAGTGGAGACGGCTGGTAAGCAGAGGTTCTACTGCTTTATACACCTTGGCTGGGATTCCATCAGGCCCTGAGGCTTTGTTATTTTTCATCTGTTTGATGGCAATAGCTACTTCATCCAGGGATGGAGGATAGCTGAGGTGGGTCAGCTCTGGATGCTGAGGGACCTGCTGGGTAGTCAGGACATCCACATTAGTGTATCGGGGGAGCAATGAATGGTAGTGCTCTTTCCAGTGCTGAAGGAAGCCTTTATTGTCTTTAATTAATAATAATAATAATAATAATAATAAACAGTTTATTAATAGAGTTGCAGTCGGTGGCTGAAAATATACAGACTTACATTTGATTTAGACATAATGATATAATATGCATTGAATACATTTACAGGGCTGTACAGTACATAAATCAGGAGTTGTTTATTATTTTAGCATTAGATGGGATGGTGCTGTTCTTGTATCTATCGGTGCGGGCTCTTATGGGCTGAATTTTGTTGTAGTGGCAGACTGCGCGAGTTGGGTGGGGGGCTGCAGGTGGCAGGAAGTGGCGATGACGAGGGTGGTGCAGTAGTCCACTGCCAAACCTTTCCAGTGCTTGGTGGTGGAGGTCACTGAGGGATGGCATTTCCAGGGTGGAGAGAGCGTTGGTGTAGCTGGAGTATTCTGCGCCGAGCATGATTCTGCAGGCCCTTTTCTGTGCATTCTCTATGTGTGTGTGTGTGTGTGTAATAATATGTGTGTGTGTGTGTGTGTGTGTGTGATAATAATAGTAATAATAATAATAATTATAAACGGTTTATTGAAAAAGTTTGCAGCCCAAAGGCTGAAAATATACATTGGACATAAATGACTTATTACATACATTGGTGGTTTAACAAAAGCCTTCATTAGAGAAAGGTGAAGGAACATATACAGTGAACATACAGATTAATGTTTACACACATAGATCATGTGAGCCGAGGTGTTGAACAGCAGACACGTAGTGTAGTAACTCCCTCACAGATGGCATTATAAAGGACATCGCGTGGGGTACTAGTTCCCTCACAGATAGTGTTATGAAGGGCATGATGATGTAGTAGTTCCCTCACAGATGGTGTATGAGGGGCCTGATGATGTAGTAATTCCCTCACAGATGGTGTTATGAGGGGCCTGATGTGGAGTGGTACTTCCCTCACAGATGGTGTTATGAGGGGCCTGATGTGGAGTAGTAATTCCCTCACAGATGGTGTTATAAGGGGCATCACATGGCGTAGTAATTCCCTCACGGATGGTGTTATGAGGGGCATCACGTGGTGTAGTAATTCCCTCGCAGGTGTTATGAGGAATTTCACATGATGCTGTAGCAACTCATTCACTATGCGGTGTCGTGCATAATGGGGACACCACGTGGTCCATTGTCACAGGAATTCACTCACTCAAGTGGGTGAGGTGTGGTCCCAGGCCTCTCTATCGTGGAGTCTCAGGGGAATTATCACTGGACCTCACTGTGTGAAGGTTAGCTTGGCTCAGACTCAACTGCCGAGTTGTTTTTTACTGACTTAAACACTGTTCACCACTATTCAACACTGGTTCCATTCCTTTCCCAAATGAAATAGTAACTTCTGGCGAGAACTTGTTCATATTCTGGTGGGGAGGAGGGTTCAGGGTAGGGAGTTGGTATGGGCCAACATAACAGTTGACGTGGCTGCTGCTGAGCAGCGCCAGGTGCGTCTGACCCGTCTTGACCCGTCGGTGGTCAAGGATGAAGTGTGTGTGTGTGTGTGTGTTTTTTTTTTTTTTTAACAAACCAATGATCTATATAATACGGGCATGAATGGAGTTGTGTGTTACAGCAAAGACAAGTGGTATTTACCACGAGTCTAAACGACACCTCTTGCAGGAGCTGTAGTTATTTACGCAACCACCACTGTACGGTATATGTACAATATT